AGCCGAGGTGCTATTGTTCGAAAGCCGACCGAGATGGAGACGAGGGGAAGCGAAACGCGGAGGTGGCAAGGAAGAAGGGAGGATGGGGCATCGTGAGAGTGATATGTATATGTAAGTTTTGTACGTACGCGAAGAAAAGTGGGCCTTTCCCTCGGAGTTCAGACAATTCTTACGCACTTCCACCGTGCGCGCGTCTATTTAATAATTTCAATCGATTGCCAATCTTTCCCCGATCTATCCCACCTCGCGGCGATCTGAAAGGTCACGGCGGCTCGGCATGGCTTTATTACGTTTTATTGTCCTAATAATATATTTATCGAGATGCTGATCGAACGTTTCTACACCTGGACATGATTTTTTTTAAATACAATGGATATCGTCATTGCGGAAATTTTAATTCAAATGTGTAATAATTACCAAAGTCAATTCTTGGGATCGAGAGAGTTTCGGAAGAGAAACGGCGCGTGAAACAACTCGTATACCTGCACGGCCAATAATTTTCAATCGGCGCACCGTCTCTTAAATCGACCAACGAGGTCGACGTTATCGGCCCTTTTGCAGCAAGCACCATTATAGTGAGATACTGTACATGCCGATCCGTCGTTTAAGGGCCGCAAACGGAAGGCGGTTCGGTATTTTACGAGAAGACGAGCGTATCCTCCTCTCGTGGAGGAGAATATACAGAGTGTCTTTTTCGTTCTTCGATTGTAACTTCTTCGACCGGTTTAGAATAGTTTATACTAACAAAATTATCATAAATTTTTAAGGTTTAATGCCCATAAAGTACACTTTATCCTGGAAGAATGTCCTAGAAACGTCCTTAGAACGTGGAGACGTCTTCTGAACGTCTTTAAAATATTCTTTGGAGATCTATGCTGTATAAGTGATGATTCCTCATAATTGATTCGCAAATTAGATTTCTGCCAGGATTGTCACAAATTCGTAAAATTAACTTTTCCCTAATTTCCAGACAAAATATTTCACGACTTTTTCTGATCCTCAATAATATTTTAAAATTATTTTGTTTTCATCCTGATTTAGAAACCTTTAAATATTTTATCGAGATAAATTTAATATTTAATGATGCTGACACTGTATTTTTAATTGTTAAATTGCAGATAGTATTTCAAAACTACGTGTCATATACATATTAATACATTAAACTTGTTTAAAGCCAAGAATTTAAACTTTTCAGAAAATTTTGCAAAATTTCCTAACCGCTTTAAATTTCCTTGACAATTTTTTGATTTCTAGTTTTGTGGCAACCCTGTAGAACGATACAAAAAATGAAATAAAAAAAGACAGATTTTATTAATCATTTACGTGCATTTACGCCTCGAAGATTTACTCGGACACACACCAAAATCCTTTGACACCAATTAATATTACACCGTTCGGCGTTTCCTCAGCATTTCGAAAGCCGTCTGTTGCGCATTTTTGTCTAGCGATCTCTCTCGAAGGGACATCCCGTAAATATGTATACGCATGTCGCCCATAGGGAAGGAAGGGAAATAATCGGAGGCACTAAACCACGATACCGCGTTGGCAGTTAGAGCCCTGTATCTCCGGTGCTGTCGCCGGTGGTACAACACACGCCCGGTATTATTTGCGGGCTGCCACATTTGTCGTAGGTGGTCCCGCGACACGGCGCAGTGGCGTCGCGCGGCGTTTATACACCGTATATAAGACCAGAGCACGATATATATGGTATATATCGTCGTGCGTCTCGCGTTCCCCGCAAAGCCGATCTCGCGGATAAACCACCTCGCGCGATAAACCATCACCACCGTCGTCGCCGTTCCGCTAATTAACGACGGAATTAACGACGCCTCGTGAGAATCATGCGCGATGGTGCGTGCTTAGAGGTAGTTTGGCCACAAGCAATTTTGTCCAAATCTTGAAAGAGACGAAGGTATATATGTACTGTCCCTCTGTGTACATATATCATTTTACTTTAATTTATACTATTTCACTCTGTAAACTTAATTAAGATTATAAAGTGAGACTGTATAAGTCAAAGTGAGATAGCATATTCTTTAAAATTTTTTAAGTGATCTCATTCTGAAGAATGAAATCTCACTCTAATCCGTTTCTACCAATGCAGATTAATTTTAATCTCGATTTTCAGCTGATTCTTCATTTTTTCTAATTCTAAGAATTAGAACCAAGATTAAAATTAACTATACCAGAAACGGGCATTAGATAAAAAATCCATTCTTTCTTTTTATCTTGGGAAAGTGGTCCAATTTTCACTCCTTAGAGGAAGAATTTCACTTCAAAGAATTCCACTTTAAAGAATTCCATTCCAAAGAATTTAAAGAGATATGCACAGAGAGATAACATAGTATATTATTTTTCTCTCTCGTGAGGTTTTAACAAAATCGCTTATAACCAAGGGCGTTTTTTCGTTGTGCAACTAGAAGCAACCAGTTAAGGCTATCTTCGTCTTCTGATCCCTGAAGACGAAAATAGCTGTGGTAGCTTTTAGTTGGATAACAAAAAACGTCTCAGATTCTGTCAGATATAAGGTATAACGTCTCTAGTACGCGCGATTAACCACAAGTCTGTTTTCTGTGGCTGAACCAGTTCACTTTTGGGACTTAAAGTGAAATAGGTATATGTTTGATACTTGTCAAAAGCGAGAAAGAGACTTCTAGTGCAGTCTAATGCAGGAACAGAAAACAGACCACAGGATGACGATCGATTCGGGGCTCGGGCGCGCGAACGCGTTAATTTCTAACGTTGACAGACGTGAGATCTCGAAGGCGGGTTAACGGGCGAACGATTAATAAAGATGCGCGGGCACGCGTGTCACCGGATATAAGGTGCCCACACGGCCCCCATCGGCGTATATCGTGCGTTGCGTGCCCCGACACCGACAGCGACAGCGACGCAATCGACGCTGACTCGCGCCGTACGTATACACGTATATGCATACACGTGTGTGTATACTATATACATGTGCATCGAATGTACGAACCTGCGTGTGCGCAGTGCGCACGCCGACGCAAAACACGCTCGCACGCGCGCGCTCCGCTGCACGCGCGTGTGTTCCGCGCGCGGATCGACGGGCTAACGGACGTACGTACGTACGTATGGATAGACGGGATGGATGGACGGACAGACGGATCGACACACAGCACAGCACGCGCATGAATATGTAGGATGTCTGGAGAGAAAAAAAAGAAGACGGAGGGAAAGAGTGGGGGCGGCGAAAGACCCGGCGTGCATAGTAATCGGAGCCGCGTCATGCCAATAACATCGCGCCGATCACCTAATGTCTGATCGATAAATCCGATGGAGTTTTTCCTTACTCCGCACCGATAACCGGCGCGGAGAGGGAGAAAAACATGGGGAGCGGAGGAGGGGGAGAGGGCAGATAGGTGATTTACGGGTTTGCTCGTCGGCGCGAGACGAGAGACGGAGGGACAAAGAGAGTGGCAAAATGGAAAAGGGAAAAAGACACAATGCCACAGGGGGAGGGGTAAGAGAAGGAGAGAGAGAGAGAGAGAGAGAGCACGTGTGCATGCACGCAGCACACGCGCGCGCGCGAGTGTAAACACGCTACGCCTCGTGCAGGGCGCTGGAAATGGGCAACGGGTGAGGTAAAGGCAGGTAGGTGGAGGAGAAGTTTACAATTTTCTGCACGACGGCCGCTCGATCGTTCAAATGCCAATAACGTTGCGGATGCCAATTGCCGATAATTCAAGGTGTACCTGCCCACGATAACGCGAGAAAGAGAGAGAGAGAGAGAGAGGGAGAGAAAAAAAGAGCACCGATCAGTGCTGACAGATCGTTAGGTACCGGATGATGGGCTCTCGGTTTTAACACTGAAGAGACACGCCAAGGATGACGGAGAGAAAGAAAGAAAGAGAGAGAGAGAGAGAGAGAAAAGGAAGAATCGCAAGACTGTTTGCGAACTTTCTGGTTTTCGTGAAATCGACGATTCGAATCGTCGAAACAGCGCGTCGTCGCTTCGAATATTTGTATCACAATTGGGAGAAAACGTTGCTGGAGAATCGCTGAGCGATAACGTAACGATCGAAACCAGATTCACGAAGAGGACTCGAACCCGGAGTGGCGCGGCACGACGCGATAAGAGAACGATTTTCCTATCTCGATCGCGCAGGTGGTTCGCGATATACGAACGAGACGAGACCACGAATTACATTCGTGGTGGCCGGCTTCGCGGTCTCAACTGCGCATTTTTCGGCGACGCGGCAAAAAAAATATATATATAATTGCGTTAACGAGCAACGAGTTTTTTTTTTCCCCTCATTCGGCTGATTCTCGAGATAGCTCTCACCTTTCTCCTCGTATCGTTGAAGCTTCGGTTCTAAGCGTAATTGAATTAATTCCACATTTTCGCCCGACGCCTGCAATTAATTTAATGATAACGCGCCGCGTGGAAGATTTTTTTTCCTGCTTTCTTATTCCCAGAGTCGGTTTCCCGGCGGAAAAGGCTTTTTCCCGCGAGCAGCGTCAACATTGTTTCCGCGTACGTGTATTTTTAAAAGACGAGACCGTAATCTTGTACCTCGGCCTCTGCCGTATCCGGTAATAGATAATTTTCCTATAATGAGGTAACCTCGATGCGCCTTAATTACATTTTAAAAGATACAATGTTTTTTTAATAAATCGCCGATCTATTTAACATAGAAAACTGAATACATCAGTGCTTTATTAAAAGCCCTGGATTTCTAGAGCCGCAAATCATGAGAACCTATTCCTCGCTGAAAAGCAAATAGTGTTAATTCTCTTTTACAATTTATTAATAGATCGGAATCGAGTTAAGATTTCTCAGCCAATTAACATTTAAATGCAAAAGTTTCCAAAGGCAGTCAATATTCTTTCAATTTACATTCAATGTTTCGTCTATCAAATGAACCCACAATCTCGTTAGAGGATTAATTAATAAACGTCGCCGTGAACACTACAAGCCTTTTGATCGGTCCAGGGAGCGAAGGGGAAAAAGGGAGAAAAATTTCATGCGCATTTACCGAGCATCTTGCTGAGATCGGCATTGTGGAGATCGGGATTCTCATCGGCCAATTTCTTGCGCTCGACCTTTGCCCAGACCATGAACGCGTTCATCGGGCGACGTATCCGTTGCTCCTTGAGGCTCCTCTGGGCGGTGCCGCCGCCGGGATGGCACATCTTCACTCCTGCAGGAATCGGCGAGATGCCCGGTTGGTACTCGAGCGACGGGCCGGAGGCCAGCCACGGCATATCCTCGAGCCGCTGCTGCGCCGGGCCGGACAGCATGCTCGGTATCTGGTTTCAGGAAATGGTGCATTCCATGAGACATACCCTCGACGTCCAACATTTATTTACCCAGCGACGTGTTTCGACAAGTTTAAACATTATTTTTACCTGTTCGAGTTTTAAGCGAGGCAGCACAAAAAACGAGAAGTTGTCGATTGAAGTATAAAGATGTCGAATGGTATAAATTTATTTGACCAACAACCACGTTGTTAAAATGCCTAGCGATCACTAATAGTCAAGACTACAGATTCTATAACAGAGTGTGGTCACGAACGATTTGTCACAAAATCCTACAAAAGAGAAAGATACGTATACATATACTATCTTCCTGTGTAAATATCTTACTCAATACTTTATACTGTCTCACTCTGTGTGGAAAGAGAGAGAGCGATTAGTCGAAATGTCTAAAAATTTAGATAGATACAGATCTGAAAATAAATTTTGTTGCACTATCAAAATAGTTATGCGTAGAATACTCAAACTGATTGTTAGAATGTCAAAACTTTTTACAGCATTACTTATCGTACTTAAGATTTCTACGTAATTATTTTGATAGTCCAACAAAATTATTTTCAGATCTGTATCTAGCTAAATTTTTAGATACATTAGCAAAATAATTCTTTCTCTGTATAATCTCAACTAAGATTATAGAATAAGAATTCTCGTAAAATTTTGACAAAATCGCTCGTGGTTAGACTTTGCTTCAGGATCTCTAGACAAGACGAAACGTGGGATTAATGAATCGATCGCGTTCGCATCAAACATACGATTTTGCTATCGTTCCCTCCAGCTATCATTGTTCCGCGCGGCGGTTCGACTTTGTACTCGTGCATTCGTTTCCGAATAGTTGTACGCGTGCATTGCTGTGAATGCTTTACGTAGGTGTGTTTACAACAACGTGTCGAGCGCAAGAATGTAAGTAGTACACAGCGTGTACAACGCGAAGGCGCGGAGATCTATTTCGAGAACGATAGACTACACAGAATCCGAAATAGAATCGTAACGCTGTACCGAGATGATTTGGGTGTCGATGGGCATCGAGCTGTCGTTGCCGTCGATACCGGAGTCGATGTCGTAGGCCCTCGACGTGGGAGTTGCGTAAAGCGACGAATGGAGCGCCAAGAGCCCGGGGGAGCCGCCGTAGCCGCTCACCGCCGGTGGTGGTGTCACCTCACCCCTGTCATAATTGTCCAGCATCCTGCAAAAATCAAAAGAGAATCCAGTTGTATTCCATGTCTTACCATATCCTCGATCGAATAAATAATTTATCTACTTTATGCACATTTATTATTCAGTCATTGCGAAAGTGTTCATTTATATATTAAAATACGTAATATAATATGGCTCAAGTAATATAAAATTAAAAGAAATAATGTTGAAACGGGCTACGAGCCAAATACAATAAAATATCATATTAATGATATATACCTATAACATAAAAGTTACAAATAAATTTTATATATTATTTACATTTTATAAATTATTTAAGACTATGTTTCAAGACTGACAAATAACAGGCGCATAGTTTGCTTGAACTGGAAATTGTATACATTCGCAAGAAATATTATTATTCAGGCACAAAGACCGAATATGGCATTTTTTTTTTACTAATGTGTGTTATATATTATTGTTTATGTGTTATTATTCATATCTTACATATTACTTTTTTATGTATTACTTTTGAGGCTTTCACGGATATTTTCTTAAGAGGTGCCAAAGGATTTACGGATTATATTTTCGTATTTATGTATTATATTTTTTATGTAATATATTTTTATATATTACTTTTTCGTTGTAATGTTTTCTTTAACGCTCTTTGTACCATGTTTCTCCGTTTTGAACGGAATATGTTTTCTTAGGATAGGTAAATTACAACTGCTGTACCACTTTGCTAACTTTACATAATCATGTTTTGCCGAGATTATGTTACCTGGCGATCGTCTGTTATTTTTGGGATGTATTCGTAATATTGCTGTAATCTCCATAGATACAATATATTATATACCGCACGCATAAAGTCAAATTGAATGTCATAACGGACACCAATATCTATTATATATATCTGATCCAATAGCGGGCGATCTGGTAATAGTTTATTGATCGTTCGGAAAGCACTCGTACCGTACGTTCGCGTGCGAGTGCAATCGAATGCAATCGCGATTCGCCGAGGAATAAACCATGATAAGCCGCGGCCGAGACCCTAGGACTGCTAGGAGTCCCGATACTCCCGATCGATTCGAACCGGCATCGGCATGGGCACTAACATTCTCGACGACGATGACTCCGTGTTCCTCCGACGATCTCGGTATCACCGGTACAGGCTGCGCCCAGTAGTAATTGACTCGACCGGCAAGCGTTTCTCTCGATCTCGAGAACGAGCGAATGAAATCCCGTGGGTCGTTCTCGTGCCCGAGCGGCCGATTGATCTGTCAACCGTTCCGTTAGGAAAAGAGTTGATCGACATGAATGAACCATTCAAGGCCACTTAATGGAATTCCCACGATTGTCCTTAAGGCATTATGCGACCGTGCGCCGGGTATAATAGTACGAACAGCTGTCTGTCGCGCGCAAACACACATTTTCGCAGCTTCACACATACGTACACAGTGTTCTAGGCAAACCGTGCTGAACATACCTAATGCACACGTACAATGTTCTGTGAGTATGTGCACGTAATACGTTGCGCGCGAGTGTTCCATATAATGGCCATTGTTTCATTCGGCGTTTAGCGAGATGCTGCGACGCGCACGTTGGTAAAAAAAAAAATATATAAATGTATCGGCATTTTCATTCAATAAACCTCACGCCGCGCCGGTTAGGTACGCGCATTTTTGTCACCCTTTATACCGAAGGAGAGAAACATATAGTTACGAGAAAGAAAGAGAAAGAGAAAGAGAGAGAGTCACGTTTCCTCGTCGCTGATAAAACCGACGGCTTGCTTCGACGTATCGAAGTATATCGTATCGGTCCGATACGAATCACGGCTACCAAAGAGAATTCATGTCGCGATGAAATAGATTGAGATTTACGTGAAGCGTTTTAGAAAGCGTTCCAAAGTGCGAAAGACGAATTTGATTACTCTGAAGATGATACATTGCGTGAGCACAGATTTGATCGCAATTAAAAAAATAATAAAATAAGTTGTAAACGATCTTATTTCCGCGTTACAGCGAGCTTCGTGTTTCAGCGAGATATTTCTCGGATGGACGATTCTCTAACAAACGAGCTAGTCTCACAGATCTCATTATCCGTTATGAACTCGTCGAATTTTTACATGTAGGATCGTTTGAAATCTGTTGTCTACTCTATGGAACACAATTACTGACAACATATTCTGTCGTTCGAGCGAGCTTTCCAGCAGATCCAAGTAACACCTGGATGTGACAAAAAGGGATAACGAGATCAAGACGATTACAGGCTTGAAACACGATAGGTCTTTATGTTGCGAATCTACTATGAAAATAAACAAGCATGGATAAAAAACGAAAATGGTTGTAGTTTCGAAACAAAGTGAAATCAGACATATCTTTATGAATCATAGACGTAACATAGGTACTTTCAGATTATTCATTCCTATGAAATTGTCACTATCGGAAAAGAGTGGAGTAGCTTGATTCGTATCGCTTCTCTCTCTCTCTCTCTCTCTCTCTATTAAGTTAAAAAAAGATATGATATAGACGATTAAATGCAGGCTATTTTTTTTTAACAAAGTACACGTGCTAAGAGTGCGCAATACCTTATCTATACTTACTATGTCTATTGATATAAACTTATTCCATTATTTCCAAGTGCTGAATCTCTGATACATTAAGACTATAGCATACAAATAAATTTAAGTAATATATTATGTAAACAGTAAACAAATACATATTTTGGATTTGCTGCTGATTACGTTTTTGTGTGTGTCGTTTAATATAATCTAATGCTTTCATGTGATAGACAAAAGAAAATTAAATAGATAAGTATGCGTCTTCGATAGTAATGGAACTTGTTTTGTTTATCAGTGCATTTCTCGCAAAAAGAATCGTGCAGCGATGGCAGAGATACAATACGAAATTAAAAGCCATTAAGAGCCGCAGTCAGGATTCCCCCGGGTTTCGTCGGCATCGGCGCAGCTGCACCACCCACGCGTATGATAGATACGCCACTGCCTTCAGCATTGTTTCTTTAATGATTCATGTCGGGGTGACTGCACCAGGAGTAGAGGAAGCAGTCTCCAACCGCGAATGCAATGAGCCGCGCATCGTTTCGAAAATATTAATTCGCCAGGAGTCATTGCCGGACGCTGATGCATCGACGGGCGTCGCGCGCATTAATGTCGCGTCCTTTGTCAAACTTTGCACTCGTGACGATGAGGCACGCGTCATTGCTGCTTCGCGGAACAGATCGTATCGTCTCGTTCGCCGATTCGCGCCAGATAAGATCTGCGATTGATAGCGAAAAGATAGAGATTAATGCAGGATTGCCACAAAATTGAAAATCAGGAAAATCAACGAATCGTCAGGGAAATCAGGGAGGTCAAGGAATTTTGTAAAATTTTTTGGAAAGTTAAAATTGTTGGCTTTAAAGAAGTTTAATAATCATACCTACGCAGTTTTAAAATACTACCATCAACTGAACAATTAAAAAGCAGTGTCAGCTACATTAATAGTAATTTATATTGTTACGTCGAATTAATTTTTCAGCAAAATATTTAACGGTTTCTAAATCAGAACGGAAATATAAAAAATTTCAAGATATTAAAAGTCAAGAAAAATCATGAAATTTTTTGTCCGGAAATCAGGGAATAATTTACAGAATTTAAGATGAGAAATTTGTGACAACCCTGTTAACACTAGAAGGACCGTAAGAGCCAATTTTGCTCCAAGCACATATTTTAAATAAAAATTCAACCATTTTACATAATTGACAATTTTTTTACTAAAATGAAGAACATGACAAATGATGAAAAGTCACAAAAGGATATTACGTGGAAGCAAAAAAAGTTATATTAGTTTGAATTTCGCGAGGAGCCAAATTGGCTACCTCGATCCTTCTAGCGTTAATAGGATTCGCAGCGATTGCGTTAATTTACGCGATATATTACGAGACGCACCGGGCGTGTTGCACGCGCGGTTACCGTTCGTGCGCGATGTTTACTACCCGTAGCGAAAAGCGCTTGTAACCGTTTAATCGAACGACGCGCGGAGCGAGTCAAGTCCCAGGAACGAAGGAGACGAAAGAGTTCTCTTTCCGCTCCTCTCCAAAAATCTCGGTCCTCGAGCGGTACAAGTACCCGGGGAACGAGGAGACGTTCCGCAATGCGTGTCAAGGAAAAACGACAGTTATCCTTCCACACGCCGACGCGGACGCGCGTTACAAATAGCTCGAGAGGAACCGCCGGCCGCCGGGCCGCGACCTGGAGCGGCAGACACGCCGCGCCGCACGCACGTCAGACTCGGCCGAGCAGGGAGACAAAGAACAACAGCCGCGCACCGGCGGCGATCCCCTAAATCGGCATGTCCGTTGAGCCTCATGAATCTCCGCCGCGGCTCCTCTCCTTCGCGAGAGGTGAAGGAGGGAAAAGCACCGGTGTGTCCTCTGCACGGTTCGGCACGCAGAGCAAACAGGCAGCGACGGCGACCGCGCGCGGGTCGTTCCGAGAGCACTCGAGCCAGTTCCCTTCGTCATTCTCCTCGTCAACGACACACTTGTTCGCCGGCTAAATTGTTCCTCTCCCTCCTACCCCTCCAATGGAAGCCAAGAGGGAGTCCGCTTCGCGGAGAGGAGTGAGGAGAAAGCTTTCGACCGCGCGCGCGAAGCGCGACCTGCGTGATGGCGCCGCGTTTTATACGGCGACGTATTTTTATTCAAATAATCGCGCGTCGATCGAACACACCCTTGCATTGCCCGACGACGAGGCGACGAGACGCGGTGCGGTCGCATAAACGCGGCGAAACGCACGCGTGGGTGGGAATCGATCTGTATTCGCGACATTCGCGTCGATATACGCGTCGCGTAAATTGAAAAAATTTCGTCCGTCGATGCTTAACGGTAACGATATTATAGATTCGATTTAGATATAGGAGAATTGAATAGGCCTATAGATCCTTAACAAATCGTGCACGACGAAATTCTTTGCGCGAGCGAACGGGGACGCTTGCGCGAAGACTGTAATTTTATATAAGCCCCTGATTAAACTTTCAAATCGAATGCCCA